TGGAGCAGCAATGGGATGGAGCTGGGCTGTCCCTGGAGCAGCAATGGGATGGAGCTGGGCTGTCTGTGCTGTTTCCTGGAGCAAGGGGAAAGGAGAAGGGCTCAGAAGGGGCAGGTTCAAAGCAGGCGAGTGGAGGTTGTCCTCCCACCTGTGGAGCTCTTTGCCACGGGATGCTGTGGATTCTGAAAGCTGACCTGGGTTCAGAGGCAGGTTACACAAGCTCATGGAGAGAGAGCTGCTGCATTGATTAAGCAGAGAGAAGCCATCCTTGGTTCAGGAAGTTTCTCAGGAGCTAATGGTTGGAGGCTGGGATAATGCTTGTCAGAAGCCTCATGGTGTGCTTCCCTGTTCTTACCTGCTTCAAAGTTTGCTTTCTTCTCCCAGCTTTCCTTTGTAGAGATGTCAGCAAGGTCATGTGCAGGAGGGAGGATGAGAAGTCATCTGCCTTGCAGAAATAAGAGAACTGAGACTTTGTGATGAAGAAACGGAAACTTCATCAAAGAGATTGCTAACACTTACACAAGTTGGAGCACTGTGTTCCATGTAATTATTTGCTAATATCCTGCTGCTCATTGGGCTTTAGAAGGAATTCCTGGATTGAGCCACTGCTACAGTTGATGAAAGTTAGGAACTGAGTACCAAGTTGAAGCTGGAGAGCGAGAATTTCTTGGGTTTAGTCTCCAGGATTGAATTGGACAGTCTAACAGATGCACCCTGGCAATGCTATTAACTCTGCACAGGAATAGATACTTTAATACTTCCTTTGTGGGGCTTGGCTGAATGGTACAGATGGGTTTCTGCACCGCTGGGAAACCTGAAGCTGTTAATCAGAACTGACAGTGTTAAAAACTCATTTTAAGACACAGCTTGCAAACTAAATATGGGTTCTTGTGAAGATCTGGCAAATGAGGAGGGGGAATTTGCAGTTGCAAATGAAAAATAACTGACTCAGCCAGGCTGGTGCATGGCACTGACTTGCTAGTCACTGTTAATGGCCTTTCAGTCATCAAGCACTGACAAATACAGTATTATGCATTCTTCTACAGACTCCTTGATCTTTTTAATGTATTTCAAATTTTAATTTGCATCATTTCCCTTACATCACCTCTTATGAGTGATGCTGGATTCCTGGGACTGAATTGCAAACCGTGGGGTAACTTAGAGTAGGCAGTAATAAAGAGGGATGGTGAAAACTGTACAGGATGGTTCTATAAACCAGGGATGTCTTTACTTTCACTGGAGAGACACTGAGAGCTTCAAGCAGAAAAAATAACACTATTAACAGCACTGACTTACAGGGATAAATATTTACTGGGGCCTTGTGATCCTCAGGCAACTCAAATTTAATTAATTTTTTTTAAAGGTCAGAAGGACAAGTGCTCAATTTGTGTTCTAATGAGACGCATTAAGACTGTGTTAAAAATTAAATTTGTCGTTTAAGTACCAAGTATTCATTTGAGGCTTAGAAAATGGAATACTGTTGACTGTTATGTAAATAAAGTTAGAAGAAGCAGTTATGGCAATACATGAATTTTTAGGTAGCCTAACTTTTTGTTACTAAAAAATAGTTACATAAAGTCCTGTGGACTATGGGATGTTAATCTGAGGGAGCTTTTTTGTAGAGAAGTGACCCAGTGAGAGTCAGTGCAGTAGAAACAATAGTCTTTCTGGGGAAGCTGTGTCCCTCAGTACTGGGACTTTTTTATCCCTGTGCTGAGCTTCTAGAAGGTTACTCACATAATGGTGCAGCTTTCACTGAGGTGTCATTTCATCAAATACCATGTGAAGCCCAAAACACTTAAATCATTTCAGTGTGACCCTAAATGAAACCTGAGCTCTTCAGTGTATTGAACTTGTTTGAATTCTAATTCAAAGATTCTAATTCTGTTTAGCCTTATTTCCTTCAGAAACTGAAGGGCTTGCTTTTAATCTTCTCCAGGTCAAAGACCGGGGTCCAGAAGCCACAAGAAGATTTTTTAATTGGTTTTATTGGAGCATTAATTTGGGAGCTATCCTCTCTCTGGGAGGCATTGCATACATCCAGCAGAACGTGAGCTTTGTGATCGGATACAGCATCCCAACAGTCTGCATTGGGATTTCATTCATGGTGTTCTTATGTGGGCAGAGCTTCTTCATCACCAAACCTCCTGATGGTAGTGCCTTCACAGACATGTTCAGAATTCTCACATACTCCTGCTGCTCCAAGAAGACCCACGGGGAACACTCAGCAAACAGGTTTGTGATGAGCTCTTCTGTGTGGCCTCCACGCAGAGTCAGCCTAGGATGGGACTCCTTAGCTCAGACTGGCTGTAGGAACTCCACCAGAGCCTGCAGGAGAGTGAGCAGGTTTGCTCTGAGAGCTGGCAAACGAGTTCTGGAGCTGCTTTCTGGGAGCTGAGGGTTGGAAGAGGCACAGTGAGATCACTGGGTGCTCCTGCAGCCAGATCCTGGTGGCAGCTGAGCTCTGTGTCCTGCCAGCTCAGAGTTCTGAGGGTGTCACGTAACCTGACCCTGCTGCTCTCAGCATTAGTTAACTTCTCTGGCAGATATCTTTGTGAATGCCTTCTGCTTTGAAAAGCACTGTCATCCACATTTAATACTGTAAGTAGCTTGATGGGGAGCCAAAATTTTTCCCCTCTTAAGAGCTGCCCATGAATACTGGTGGTTGAGTTGAATCACTGGTCAGAGATGTCAGGTGCCTGTTCTGCAGTGGGGTTTCGTGTGTTCAGATTGCCAGACAGTTCAGTGACTTAACAAGCAATATCACAAAAAGCAGGTTACTCTAAGTTCTGCCAGTTATTTAGGGCTGGGGTGTGTGGGGAGGATGGGAAATAAGGAAGCTCCACAGCAGAAGGTTTCCTCTCATGTTTCCACCTGCTGGGGATCCATTCTGGCCCAGCTGTGTTGCTGTAACTTACATTAATTGCTCATTTTGGAAATGCATTAGCTTTTTATAAGGAAGACAAGATTGCCAGTTATGCTTAACTGAACATCTCCAATCCTTTTCCAAAGTGAAGGCCAGGGAGTGCTGCACCCGCCTCGCAAGCAGAGCCTTTTCGAGATGGCCAAGCTGTCTCGGGGGGGGCCCTTCAGAGAAGATAAGGTGGAGGATGTCAAAGCTCTTGTCAAGATTATCCCTGTCTTCCTGGCTTTAATACCTTACTGGACAGTGTATTTTCAAGTGAGTAGTTCCAAATGGTTACAGCTATACTTTACATAATTTCTAATTTAACATTTTTGGGGTGTTCTCTCATAAACAGGAAACTTACCTTGAAGTTGAGAGATGAGAAATGACTGCTAAGGAATGCTCTCAAATATTTTGACCTAATAATAGAAAAAAAAATAATTACAATTGTAGTTAAGACTCACAGTTGTACAAATTCACATATCTTAAATATTGTGCTGTGTTTTGTCTTGCAGCTGTTTATATAGGTCAGGCTAAGTGGTCTAGACCTCATTTTAATTTTCAGGTTCTGCCTTATGGCAATGATTTGGGATATCAGATACATTTTGGGCAAAAGAAACAATGAAGAAATTGTTTTCAAAGGCACACAGAATGAGTCTTTGTGTTTTTAATAAAAATAGCTACAAGGTTAAAAAATCTTGTAATGTTCTGACCGTAATTGTTGTCAGTTTGCTGTGTTAGCATTTCACCTCTGGTATAATCTTTGTTACTTGTTACAAAATGAAAAATACCTTGCTCCCAGCACTCCTTGTCCAAGTAATCTCAACTCCTCTTTCCTAATGCTAGATGCAGACAACATATGTATTGCAGAGTCTCCATCTGAAAATTCCTGAGATCTCCAATGACACCAACTCCATCCACACGGTGAGCAGAGCAAAACAAGTGCAAAGGGCCTTTCTTTGCTGGAAATGCAGTTTAGGTCAGTCTTGTACAGAAATTCCAGGAAGTTCAGGGAGTGCATTTGGGGATCAGTGGCCTCAGCCTTTGGGGATTTAGGAGCACGATACACATCCCAGATTTTATCACACCAAGAAGTGTCTGGAGTTCACACCAACCTGCCCTGGGTGCATTTGGGTAACTCTCACTGCTTTCATCGAGAGTTTCCTTATCCTTCAGTGGCCCAGGTCTGACCTGTGAAGAAAGCTGATCAGTCTTCATGCCCTGTGTCTCCATACCAGGACAGAAGGATTTCTGCAAGCCCAGTGAGAAAGAATCCCCATCCTTAAGTGATACGTTAGCACTTGGAATTTGAGACACATTTGTTACTTTAGACTGCCTAATCAATAATCACTTTACCTTCAGCATATTGAAAGAAGCTGTTCAATCAATACTTTTCAAGAAGGGCTCGCATCATGTGATTGCAGAAATGGTACAGAGAAGTAAAACACAGGATTTACATGATTTACATGTGTTACACCACCCTCTCTATTCATTTGACAAGTGTAACTTGATTTTAATTGAACTTTGCATTTACATTAGCAAGACTCTGTTTCTGCTGTTCTGTGGCATATTTCTGGTGGTTCTAAGCTTAAAGGAGAAACACAGAGCTTGGTTATTACATACTTTCCATTACTGAATTAGGTAAAAGGTTCAATTCTGTCAGATGAGAAACTGAGCTTACAGATGTATGAGCAGCCAGATTCAATGAAAACCTGAATAGCTGAATATTTTCTTCAGCTTTTAAACACTCTTTTTTGACTTTTCACAATGTCTGTCAGTGCATTGTTGTTTATTTTGGATCAAAGTGTTCAATCAAAACCTTATTTGTAAAATAATAGTAAAAGTTAACTCCTAAGTATGAAATTGCCAACTTGAGTCATCTCCCCTTCCAGTTTCCAGCAGCCTGGCTGACCATGTTTGATGCAGTGCTTATTCTGATCCTAATACCCTTAAAAGACAAACTGGTGGACCCCATTTTGAAGAGGAATGGCTTGCTGCCATCCTCGCTGAAGAGAATTGCAGTTGGAATGTTCTTTGTGATGTGCTCTGCCTTTGCTGCAGGTAAGAAAATTACTTGGACATCTCCTGACTTGGTGAATTGTTCAGCTCGCTGCAACAGCACTTTTTAAAGAACTGTGTGAATATTTAATTCAGCATTATTCAGATCTTTTTTAGTGGGATAGTTGGAATGTGTCTTTATGGATGCATTTTCCTCAATAAAGGGGATTGTATCCAAAAATTTACTAAACTGTTTTGAACACTTGCAATAAAATTGGACCATTTTTCCTTCCAGAAGTAGACTTTGCATATACCCTTTAAAATGTTTTTTCATACATTCTGACTCATAAGTATAAAAAAGCTGAAATTTTACCCAAAATCCTTTCCCCTGCTCTGAAATAATAAAGTTAGGTTATGGCTGAGCAGGAGTTTCCTCCCACTTTGGGTTTTCTCTCCCCTATCTTCCTGTTCCCTAATGTTTGGAAATTAGTGTAGTGTAAAATAGCTCAGCTGTAGCATGAAAGGGAAAAGATGGCAACTCTGCTGGCCCCATAAATCAACTGCTTTTGAGATGATTTCAAGTTGTTAAGTGCTGCTGATGTGGAACTGAACATCTCTGAGCAATGCTTCACAGAATCTATAGCCCTCACAGCATCACTGTAATGAACATCCCCATAAAGCATTATGGCATTAAATAAATTCATTGCAGCACTTGGGATCCCCCATATTTTAGGGAGAGGGACACTTTGTATGGTTATTAAGATTTCTTTCAATGAGAGAGGTAATTATTAGGCCAAGGTCACTTTGTGGGCAAGGAAAGTTCTTCAAGCAAAGTCATTTAAAGTTGAACTAGAAGTGTTTCTCTTATTCCATGTTTCTTAGGACACTGCTGCTGCAGGAGAGGATGATGTAAAACACTTAAATGTCAGCTCTTTAAATAGAACCTGTGGGCTCACACATGAGGGAATTCAAAACCAGCAATGTCTGTCTTTATTCAGAGTGGGGAAGAGCACATCAAGCTGTGATAGCCAGGCTGGGGAATGGGTTCATACAGCAGAATTCCTTAAAGTTTCAGATGCTTTTTTCAATTCACCTACAAACGTAACAAATGCTTTTGTTGGTTTGATCCTCCCCACATCTTCCCCAGTAGAAACTGAAAAGGTGAATTCTTCAGGTGATTATTTGCAATCTGTTTGGGAAGTTTAACCTTTAGGAGTAACTTCACATCTCTTCATCATAGCAGGAATTTAAGGGCTTAATTTGTGACAAATTTGGGGTTTAGGAAACTGTGTATTTCTAGCAAGGTGTTGGTTTACATGTTTCATTCAATTTTTATTTTCTTGTTAAGTGATATTTATAGCTGCCATATTTTAACATTCTTAAAGTACACTGCTGCTTCCAACCATTGCTGCCTTCAAGAGGGACCCTGAATAAAATCTTAAAGATATGAAAAGGTCAAGAATTTGTAGTCATGGCAATATCTTAATGATTTGTTTGTGCCATATTTCCATTTTGACTTGCTTATCTAACAGCCATTAGTTGTGGACACTACTGAGGCTGCCTATTATATTGGTTAGATTATTTAAAATAGTTCATAAACTCTGTTAAAATACAACTGATGAGATTTAATGAACATCTGCTGTGCTTCATGCATCTTATGGTGAATTTTGAGCAGCAATGTTCAAGGTTATTCAACTGGAAAATCTACTTCATTTATAGGGTTTAAACCATTATAGCAAGAAGTTCAGATTATTTTAACTCCTAAGAGTGTAAAATTAAATATGAAAGTTGTCTATCAAGGTCTTACAGGAAGAATCAATTGATTCCAGATTCTGAAGTACTTTGAAGATGAGTTTATGGCAAAGTTTGGTATATTGTAGTTGTGCTCCGAGGTGGCTCATTTTGCAAGAGTATAAACACATTAAGATCACTTGATGTTTTGAGGTACAACAATTCTGTGTTGAGTGTAAATAAATGAAATTATGTCTGAGCTCTTAGATGACTCTGCTGCTTTGTTTACACTTGAATTAAGTTCCACTCTAAAGTGTTTGGCAGCTATATTAGAATTAAAACATCAAGAAGTCCAGTTTCATTTTAATTACAGCAGCTCTTCATAGTTCAGAGGGCACTGACGTAGCTGAAGAGATAAAGAAAGTCACATAAAAATAAGATGGGTCACCTAAAAAGAAGTGAGGAATACAGAGAAAATGTGGCTGGCGTGACATGAGAAAGGAATAAATTCAGACCAGTCTTGCCCTCAAACCCAGATGTGAGTAAGAAATTTGGCAGTGCCACTAAGCACAGAGGTGCTGATCTGGCTGGGTTTGTGTCCCAGAGCAGGGACAGTGCTGCACATCAGGGATGGAGCTGCACATCAGGGATGG